GGAAGAGCGAAGAAAGGCGTTTTCGGAATTTCATTCAGGAAATATTGATTATCGTCGCGGAATTGCCCGATCATCGGAATGCGCTGTCTGCCATAATTCTTCGACAGCAATCGCGCGGAAACCCCCCAAGCAGAACAATAAGTCATTATGATATCAAAATGATGTCAAGATGATTCCAAAATGATCATTAAAAGTCATTTTTCAATCATTTTTTATTTATTTTAACGTCATTTTGACGTTATCGTGACTTGTTGTTCTGCTTGGGCTTTATTCGCTAGAATAATACGAAGATTATTTCACAATTTACTGTACATCCTGTATACACGCATGCATAAATGCTATAGTTTTAAAGGATCGGAAAAAACCCAATTTTTCCGCGGATTTTTTCGGTTTTTTTTTCCCAAGGGTAGAAAAATTCATTTTGGAAAAATTCACGCGTGCTCGTAAAACCTACCACGTTTGCTTTTCGGTTCTTTCCGCAAAGAAAATAATTGCGTATAGGCGGGATAAGTTAACAGAAATTTTGAAATTGTATAAAAGATTGAGATCGCATAATGTATTCAATAAAATATACAAAACATACACTATTGCACCATTAATGTTAGAATTAAAAATATAGAGTCCAAACATCATGTTTATATGATAATAGTAGGTCTAGAAAATAATTTGGATTTAAACTGAATTCGTAACAAAATATTTAAAAAAAAATAAACTATAAAGAGACACTTCAGGAGTTCATTAGACCGGAGTGTGGCAAACTAGAGTTAAAAATCTGTCTACTTAAATCATGTACTAAAGGAAGGTTAGATTAGGTTTTACTATAAAAATAAAAGGATTATTAAAAAATTTTAATAAAAATAATGCCACATAATTTCATAGATTAATGTCGCATTAATGTTATAAAGGAATTTAGAAGTTACTTATTATGTCTTTCACATAGCAAAAACAGCAATTTTTCCAAAAAACCGAAATTTTTCCGGTTTTTTCCAGCAATTTGAAAAAAGCGGCTTTTTTAAAATTATAATAAATGCATTACACTATTATCAAATCAGAAATTTTTTAGTTTCCTTGCAGCTGCACTCGATTAAAATTATACTTCTCCACGAGTTAAAGAAGAGATTAAGGTAATTATATCTAGATAGTTTTTTATTTGAACAAAATTTGACTATATCTTGACATTAAGAATCAAATTTGACTATTTTTTGACGTTAAGAATCAAAATCAAGTCGTTTTGATTTGTGCAAAAAAAATGTCGAATTCTGCATTTTGCGAGTGTTCGTCATCGGCGCAATCTTTGCGTTTAGATCAGCGCTTTTGTTACGGATATTATCGATAACTGTACGGCGATATCGCTTATCCGCAAGATAAACGATAAAATTGTCGGGTGATAACGAAAGAAGATGGCCAGATAGAAATTCTAGTACGAATGAACGGGACAGTCTTCCCTCGGTGGTTAGCACGGGTTCATCAACCGCCCCTCGATCACCTTATTTTGTCGAGCAAGTGTCATCCTTATAGAAATTTGATACTGGAAGGTAATGATTAAGTACTTATTTTGAGTATTGAAAGTACTGTCGTTCAATGTTTTCAATACTTAAAATTTAATAATCAAAAGCATTGAGTCAAGTAGAACAACATCATAATAAAATCGAGATAAGATCAAGTTGAAGTTACTTTAAAAAAAATCATGATGTCATAAAGTATAGTCCCGATTATGTGAATTCTTGACATGACTTTTATATGACTTTTTAACTAAAAAATCATTAACATATCAAGAATTCATCACAAAATTATTATCAGATGTAAAAAATTTTTCATGCACGAATATGTACAATTTTTTTTAAACATGCATAAACATGTATAAATATTCATAAACATACATAATTATATATGAAATATGTCCATACATGTTTAATCATTCTTCTTTTTTTTGTAAAAGTAGTTTTTAATGTAATAGAAATAATAATGTGAAAACATTAAAAATAATTAAAAGAATAATTTTCGCTATTTGTTTTAGAAAAAATCAAATTTGGAGAAATGTAAAAAAAATGCTTATATATAATTATACATAAAATTTACATAATTTGTGTATTGGTAATTTTTTTTACATTTCTACAAATTTGACTTTTTCTAAAACGAACAATGCAAAAATCATCCCTTTAATTATTTTTGACGTTTTCGCATTATTATTATTATTGTATTTTTATGACACTAAAAGGCAATTTTACAAAAGAAATAAGGATGTATGAATATGTATAGATACATTTCATATATAATTATATGTGTTTATGAATATTTATACGTCTTTGTGTGTGTTTATACATATTCATACATATTCATGCATAAAAAATTTTTTACTGGAAAAGAGTATCGCATACAACATCATTATATTATAGATTCGTTCTCTATAATGATTTCTGATGTTATTATGATTTTATGTTCTACCTAGAGAACATCAAGTGCTTTCAATACTCAAAATAAAAATCACTATCCAAGGAACATACCAAGTCAAGAAAAAGTCAAAATAATTTTAGTATGACGTTATAAAAATTAAAATAATGATTTTTGGTTACAAAATTTTATTGACTTTAAAAATCAAAATAAAGTCATTTCAACTTTTTATTGGGTTTTGCGTATTCCTTGGGTATCTTCCAGTATTCAATTGGCCAGTAATAAATGGATTTCTGTAAAAGTGAAAGAAGTCACAGGTGAAGATATCAGATCTTTCTCTCTCTATCTCGACTGTTTTTCCGCGTGATCATCCCTCTTCTCCGCTCGTCGGAGACGGTAAACCAGATCTTCTTCACTCCACGATGATGCGGTACACGGAAGCGGACCCGATGCCGGAGCGGAGTTACGCGCAGCAGCTCAATGACACGTCGGCGAACAACGGCGAGCAACAATCGCAAGCGACCGGTATCAGACAAAGATATCGCACGTTTTATCGCGTGGAGGACGTTTCTTTTTTGCGCAATTTTTTTTCAGAATCAATCGTAAATGGCTCATCATTTTTCACTTTTTGTTCCTTTTTTGGGTCCGCCAGCGAGCACGGCGACGCAGACGATGGAGCTGCGGGAGAACGCGCCGATCATTCACGCGAATCCCAACATCATCACGATCCAGCCGGGAGGTGAATAGACTATTTCCCGTTAATTAATAATGAAACCCCAAGGAGCACATCAAGTCAACAGAAAGTCAAAATGATTTTCCTTTGAACGTCATGAAAGTCAAAATAATTTTTTTGTTACAAAATTTGACTACTTATTAATATTAAAAATAAAAATAAAGTCATTTTGATTTTTTGTTGACTTTGTATATTCCTTAATTGGAACAATGTCATTAACGAACGCAATAAAATGTAATTTGTCTTTCCTTTTTTCCGCGTTGCATAAATAAACATTTGAAAACAGAAAATTAAATTATAAGAATTACTAGAGGAGAAGGTGGTATTATGGCATTCCAGTTACATTTTACACAATAACTTTGTTAATAATCAATATTTAAGTTTAAAACTTGACAATTACATTCATTAAAATGTTATTGAATCGATTCTGGACTCAAAGATACGAAATATTTATTACTTAAGATACTATTAATAAAAATGTGACGACATTGCATAATGATTCTAAGAAAAAAAATGGGTGATAATATGGCCTTTTATAAAAATAGCCTTAAAATACTAATTTTGTTTAGAAAACAGTATTTGATTACAAAATTAATAAAAAGAAAAACATTTTTAAATGTATGCAAATGAATGTATATACATTCACATAACTTCTGCATATAAGCTGCTCAGTACTAAAAATCTCAGTACTTAAAAACAGTACACGTAATATAAACTATAGATTAACAGTAGAATTTCAATCGATTATCAAATAATTATTTTGATATGAAAACCTCAAAAAAGAGGTCGTGAGTAATCAATATCCATAGAAGGCCACATTAACAAAATGCCATAGTAGGGTTTAAATTTGTATAACTCAAAATATATATAGTCAAATAAAATGTTAAATAGCAAACACACTCAAAAATACATATATTCGTGTGATGATATGCTCAAGTTTAAGAAAAATGAGGGGGGAAGTAGATTTAATTAAATGCTAAAGTGTAACTCAGAAACACTTGAAAGTAGTTTCGAAATACTTGAAAGTAAAAATGCGTTATGATAAGTACTGGCTATTGAGTATTGGTAATATTAACTTCATGGTGTAACGGCGAGCTACTGAACTAATAATTCCATAAGTAATCATTAAGATTCGCTATATAATAGCGGAGATATTAAGGGAGACCACAATATATACACTGACCATATAATACCACCTTCTCCTCTAATATTTAAAAAGTAAATAGATCTGAACAAAGGAAATTGTGCGATGCGTTATATAAACATTTTTCATTTTTCTTTCATATAATACAATTGCAGCGTCAAAGCAAAAACAATTTTCCTTAATTATTTCTTTAACTTGTTATATTAAAATATTTAATGTGTAAAACCATTATTCTGAATTATAATCTCCATGACAGTTTCCGAGCACATGCATGCATAATTTCTTTTCATGTCCATAGAAAAAATTTTGAAACAACTGCTCGAAAAATTAATAAAAATTATAATAGTCTAATCATACAAATATATATGTATACATAAAATCAAATATATAGAAATATTAAATTTATATGATATTTAATATTTCAGACAAAAGTTGTATGGCTTTGACCTTCACATGACCTTCAAGCAATTATTCAAGGTCAAATTAATGACATCTTATATCTCCCTCAAAGTCATACAATTTTTGTCTGAAACATTTTTTTCTAAGATCAAAAATAAAAGAGTTATATGAGGTGGGACATTAAAATGGGACGTCCTGTATAATTAAACTCTCTATATATATAATATTCAATATTTAAATTAATTTATTTAAATACATTTATTATATATACATATATTTATGCACAATTATAAATAATACCTAAGTCTTTAACTAGATAAAAGTTTCGTTTAGGGGAGACAGCTGCGATGACCTTGACCTGTTTTTAAAGCAGAAAATTTATTTTGAACTGGAGAATTTTCGTGCTATATAATACAACTTTTTTGTTCATAACTTTTTAACGAAGGACGAGCTATGACTACTCCAAGTCACTCAGGGTCATGACCTTGAACTCAAGGTCATCGGAGCTGCCTCTCCTAAACGAAACTTTTACCCTTTAACTGACTAACGCGATGAAAACGATGTACTTGATAACGAGTACTCAATAAAATTCGCAGCCGCTTTTGGCTTCACTTGACGCTACAAATGCTTCGAAGCGTCAAATGGACCGCAGCCTTTATCCTTGCTAATTGTCGCATCACATTTACAGAAGGTGAGAGTCGATTCCGTAGGCCAATTCCTATCAGCACTCTCGACTGGATCTCGACACCAAGGTCGCACTTAAACGCGATCACCGGTACACAGTTCCTGGACAGCGTTGAGCAGTTGGAAATTCAGCAGGTTATTGATTTGAGTACTCGTACGTATTTAGCGCACCACGCGCCATCTTTTTGCTCTAAGAAAATAGAGCGAAGCAAGAAGATGTATTTATAATAAATTTAAGTAACTATTATATATATATAATTGAATAAAATAAGTAATATCAAATATTATACGTAAATTCCTTATTATCAAGAGAAGTATGCATATTTATTTAATATTGTTTAAAATATTTATATTATTTAATGTAACAAATAATTATTAATAGTTAAATTATATATTTATTTTTTAATAATATTAAGTTTTTTTTTACAATTATTATGCAGATTATAAAAAAATGTAATTTAATTCTACTTTAAATTTTATCAATATTAAATGACGTAATAGATAATACAATTGCATTATGTACGAATAAAAAATATAATAGAGATGTACGCGATTTTTACGCGAAATACTTGGCAGTACTCGGCAGACTGGACAAGGGTATTCAGTACAGGGTGAAAGTGCCACGCGCAGAAGCACTGTTTCTCGCCATGGAATCCAGGATGGAAACGGAATCGCGATTGTGCGGCTGGTACAAAGGATTCGTATTGAACGTTCTGGATCAGTGTGGCAGAACCGCCTTCATCATCCGGAAGGATCCCAGCTTGTTGCACGTGCCGTGCTCTCGACAGGCAAGTCGACGAAGGCACACTACAATACGCATTCCTACAATATACCGGATTTAATTACCGGAAGTTTATTGGCATCTTAATTATCGACGTATTGCAAACCTTCGAATTCTCTTTCTCGCGCTGATTTATATTATTATATATCTATTTTGCGTATAATTTAGACGTGCAGGCAACACACTTATCTTAATAGTTTTTTCAGAGTTTGAAAAATGTGTTTTGACGCCTCAAAAGGAAAAAAAGTGCAACTGTAAATGATTCGTTGGTAATCTGGCAACCCAAGGAACACATAAAAGCCAACAAAAAATCAAAATGACTTAATTTTGATTCTTAACATCAATGAAGAGTCACTTCCTAGCATCATAAGATTGCATCATAAAATTAGTTCTAGAATTCATAAAGGAAACTTTTTTTTATTATAATTTTGTTATGTATCCTCTGAAAAAATATGATGCTAATCGATAATACTTATTTTCACAATAAAATTTCAGTGTAATTTTAATGAAATTTTCTCCACCACTTACACTATTCAAATTTACTTATTGCACTAGTAGTATATTTGTATGCGGGTTTTGTAACCAAAAATTATCATTTTGACTTTCATTATATCAAAGTAAAGTCATTTTGACTTTTCCTTGAATTGGAATGTTTTTGTATGGTGTTTCAGAAAGGAAGATATATCGTCGCGATAAATTGAGCTCAATGTGTTCAATTAAATTAACCCTGCCGTTCGGCTCGAGTAACCCATTTTCTTATTAAAATAGAACAATTTTCTCTCTAACTCCTGTAAATTACAAACTAATTTTTGACGACCTTATTAGATATAACGTTAAAATAAAAAATAAGAATTTTTTAGCAACGATATACAATTAGATTTTCAAAAAGAAAATCCAATTATATACCATATGTCAATTTAATAATAATTTACCAGGAGCAAAATAAGATTGTTCAATTACTTCGAAGCTTCCTCAGTGATTTGGAAACTTTACAAAAGAATATCTATATATAACGAAACCGTATCAAATCCCGTGTAGAATGCGAACGAAACAGCAGGTTTAATCCTCGATTATCAATGTATCAGATCTTAAAACAAAACGACGAACATGACGAACATTTCTATTTTCTCGCTTGATTCGTTCATTTTTTGCATTTCCCCAGAGAATTACAGTTGAAAGCGCGAATCTCATCGGCAGCGTGGAGAAGAACTTTTCCCCGATAGGGCCAAGGTTCACCGTGTACAACGCGGTCCAGGAACCTCTTTGCAACATATATGGACCCTTCACTTGCGACTGTTGCATGTTCAAGGAAGCGCAATTCCAGGTGAATGGGATCATCCATGTGGAATACGCTAACGTCATACTAAAAATACCGAATAATCGACCAGATATTTATCGCAAATGGTGTAGGACTGAAAACGAGACTTGAGTTGCACACAACTGTTATTTTTTGTTCAACAATATTTTTTATTTATTCTTATTCGTTTTATATTTACTATTAATTGATTATTATTATCACTATTAGAAATTAATATCCATAGAGGGCCACATTAGCAAAATGCCATACTATTGTTTAAATTTGCATAACTCAAAATATATACAGTCAAATAAAATGTTAAATAGCAAATAACACACTCAAAAATATATATATTCATGTGATAATACGCTCAAGTTTAAGAAAAATGAGGAGTAGGTGTAATTAAATGTTAAAATGTAACGAAATGAAACGTTTCGAAATACTTGAAAGTAAAAATGCGTTATAATAAACTGGCTATTGAGTATTGGTATATTAGTCATGACATAACGGCGAACTACTGAACAAATAATTCCATAAGTAATCATTAGGATTCGTTATAGCGGAGATATAAAGGAAGCCATAATATATAGAGTGTATCTAAAATAACGTACACTAATCATACAGTGCTATTTCTAATAAAAAACTGAATCGAAAAGTCCTTTAGCATTTTGCAATTTTCGCAATAGTTAACAAAATATTAATTACAAAATATCGCTGAATATACAGGGTGGTCCGTTTTAATCTATCGATGCGAATATCTCGGAAAGTACGCATCTGATTGAAAAGTTGTAAAGGGAAAATTTGTTTGTTTAGATGGGGGTCACCTAATGGTGCCAAGGACCTTGACCTTGAACTCGATTTTCAAGGTTATTTGAAGGTCATGATCATTTTTTTAAATGGAATTATATGAATTTTTTTACATAATATGATTCCTCTAATTATTCTGCATATAAAAGTATTAAGGTAGCGATATCAAAAAACCAATAGTTTACGAGATATTTTATATTTCATTGTGGCACATATTGACATAAAATATTAAATAATTCGTAAACTATTAATTTTTTGATAACCATACCTTAATACTTTTATGAACAGAATAATGAGATGAAGAAATTAGTGGAAAGAAAACACATAGTTGCTTATTTAAAAAATTATCCATTTTGCATACATATTTTTTTAAAGCAACTATGTGTTTATTTATTTTTTACTATTTTTACTATTAATTATTAATATTTATATAATAATTTATAATAATAACTCATATAATAAACAATTATATTAATAATTATATTTGTAGTATAATATTATATGTGTAATATGTATAATATATTAAAATTTAATAACATACTTTCATGTTAATTTTAATTACACTACTTTATCTACTTCTTTCTTTCTAGATCATATCATTGGACGGATCTCACCAAGTCGCATCGCTGATACATCAATGGGATCACTTTGCAGTCGACTATATCCTGCTTCTCACATTTTCGATAGATACAGACGTGAGATTGAAAAGCCTGCTTCTCGGCGCATCGTTCTTAATAGTGAGCGATCGCTTTTTAATTTTATTCCGACAATCCTTTAATTGAGCGAGTTCAAGTCAAAAATATCTACATATAATACACACCTTATACATGTACATGTAACATAAATTTACAATTAAATATAATTTATTTATATTCTGATGGAAAAATGTTGCTGAAATTATTTCATGTTTTGGAACACTTTTCAACAAAATTTTAGCATTTAAAAAAAATTTCAGTTTAATTTCAGCGATTTTTAACTGAAAAATTCATTTTCGATAAAATTTCAGAAAAATTTCAGCAAAAATTTCAGAGAAATTTCGGTTGGATTTCAGTGATTTTTCAGTATGTTAGCTGAAAAATTCACTTTCAGTGAAGTTTCAGCAAATTTTCAGCAATTTCGCTGAAATGTTTCAAAACGTGGAATAATTTCAGCGAAACTTTTTGATCAGGGTACAATTATATTTTTATGTACAATAAGAATATATTTTTTTTATTTTAGGAATACCTGTACTTTCATCGAATAAGAAGAGCTTCCAGAAGATAGACACCAATTATAAATAATTTGCGACTTAAAATTACTGCTTCTGTTTGTTCCGTTATATAGTGAAACGAGCGCAAACTGGATTTTACAAAATTGATATATCTTTTAAGAAATACAATGTAAGAACAAACGCAACCTTACATTACAATTTATATAAACTTACTCAAGCAAAACAACAAGTCACTATAACGTCAAAATAACATTAAAATGAATCGGAAATGATTGGAAAATGATTTTTAATGATCATTTTGAAGTCATTTTAATATCATTTTGATATCATATAATGACTTCTTGTTCTGCTTGGGTTTCGAGCTTCGAAGCAAAATCTCGAAAATGATATCACTTTTTCACAACGCAATCGTCCAAAGACATTGTGATTTATACAATATAAAATGTTAAAAATTGAAGATGTTCGTATTTTTTATTATTCTCAGGTGATCTATGTTTTATCTTTATGTGTATATGTGTGTGCGTGCACACTAAATAAAAATTGTATGTATATTGTTAAGAAATTATACCACAGAGATAATAATAAATTAATGTTCACAGGGAAATGAATTACTCGTTTTCTTTCTACTATATGTGAAAATTAAAGTGATCGTAAAGACATCTTTTAGACATATTTACAAACATGTAGAGAACGATTATCAAAATTATCTGCATGAGCGATAATTATACTACCCAGATAACTAAGCGTGCGATATCAAAACATCACTATCGTACTGTTACGGTACTGCCACGAGATGGCGGTGTACGATGTAACTGTACGGTAACAGCATGGTAGAATTAGAAAGGTGAACCAAGGTGATGGATGCGCAGTAGATTGAAAGTAGTGGGGATCTGTCAGCCAATCAAGTTTTGAGCTAATTTACAGAGATGCACGTGACTCGTTCACGCTGCAAAAAAGCTCAATTTCTGATTGGTCGAGATCTTAGATCATGTGACGAGTCGTCCGCCATTATGCGCGTTGGTTCACCTTTTTAATTCCACCATGGGTAACAGTATAAAAAGTATACATGATATTATGATACACCGTATCAACATCGTGGCTAGGGTCCACTTGACGCTACAAACGCTTCGAAGCATTCTTTGATTAGTCAATTCATAAAATTCTTTGTTCTGATTGGTCGCTCAAACGCTTCGAAGTGTTTGTAGCGTCAAGTGAATCGCAGCCTGTACCTGTACTGCATACTGTTTGATACATCATGGTACATAATTGCAGTACCATATCAATACGACGTACTATTATCGACAGGAGAAAGACTGTGGAGACCTCTAGTCGAAGACAAATTGAATTTCTTTGATATTGTGAGAGTACAGCGTATAATTTCCTAACCTTCATAGTCATATAACTTATAAGATTAATATCTCGCTTCGCGGAACGACGTTTTTTTCTGCACAAATTTCTATTAGGACCATGTTGACCAGATATATCATATAGTTATACATCCATGATTATATGAGTGTTCGTGGATCATCGAAGTATAGCAGTTTCCATACGATTCCAGAAGTCAAGCACATTGGATGACGGTATGCAACCATACGTAACCGGATGGGTGATTACTTCGAAGCACTATGGCCGATATTCTTAGTCAGATCTTATTTCAAGACTGTCTTAAGTAATGTTTAATGGCTGCAGCACAGACTCTTGCATAACGCATAATGCATAGTGTATAAGGGAATCGACCAATCGAAATTCTTCTTTTCCATGGAATGGAAGGAAAGGAAAGATTCTGATTAGTTGATTCGCTTATGCACTATGCGTTATGCGTTATGCAAGAGTCTGTGCTGCGGCCTTTAAGATGCTAATACAGCCCTCTGATTGGTTCGTGACATCTCAAGACTGAACTTAAGACGGTCTTGAATATAAGAACTGACTATGAATACCGGCCTATGTACGGAATCCATAGATGTTGCTCAAGACTTGAGATAGTCTTAAGCTAGTACTTGAACCAATCAGAGAGCCATTTTACATAATTTTTCGTATTCTTCCTTTTTCACAGCATATTTATTTTATTTATTAAAGAATCTGGTTATATTTGTTAACAAATAACGATTATACAATATAAAATTACTAAATTATATATTCAGTATCCTCTCACATTGTGTCTGAGAATTGACTTCAAAAAAATCAAATTAAAAATTAATAGTTACCGATAAAATGTAACTAAATTAAGTTAAAATTAATTAACTTTTTAATTTTTTAACTTAACTTTTATCTTTTTAACTTAGCACTACCCAACCCTGCAAATATGGTATACATGTAAGTACATATATATAGCAGTGTTGGGTAGTAACTAGTTAAAACGTTAAAAGTTAAAAAAAAGTTAAAAAGTTAATAACTTTTAACTTAACTTAGTCAATTTTAAATGCATTAAATTTTACCTAACTAAGTTATTTTTAAACGTTAACTTTTTAACTTTTTTTTAAGTTAAAAATTTTTTTATCTCTTTTAAATGCCTCAGAAAAATAATAAAATATAATAAGACTAAAGGCGTATATCCGTAATCCGTAATATTTTAAGACATCTTAAGTAATTTCTTAAGATGTGCTAATACAGAGCCCTCTGATTGGCTTATGCCTTATGCCATAAGACTTAATCCGGATCTACAATAATAGCGTTTTTCACTAGGAGAGCTGGTGCGCACTCAGTGCACTTTAAAGCCGTTGTACAATCGATGTAAAAATGTACGTTCAATAACAATATAGAAACGAATTAAACCGCGAAATCCTCAATATATTTTATTGTGGTATTTGATAAAATATACATTGGGTATTTTATTAATTGAGATATCTCACTTTTACATTCAAATTAAGTTAGTGTAAAACAGCTTTAATATGCACTGAGTGCGCACCAGTTCTGCCAGTGAAAAACGCTATAAGTGTTTTAAGTCTTAAGTAATTGACCAATAAGAAATTGACCAATTACAGTCGAATGCGAGGAGAATATTTGGCTGTAATTAATCCATTTCTTATAGCTTAAGGCTTATTAAAAAGTAAAAACCTAAAAAGTTATGTTATATCATATGTGAATAAAAAAATTAAAAATTTAATTTACTTAATAATCTATATTGTAGTTGTTATTTAATCTCATTTTAAGAAAAATTAGGGTACATTTAAATTTAGTCAATAGCCCTGTTATTTTATCAGCGATTTCTATTAGGATTCATTAAGAATATTGAATGATTGTATAATTTTATACAATACATTAGTACGCGCGCGCGAAAATACAGTTTATTTGTGCATAAAACTATAAGAAACAATAAATTTTACCAAAATTACCAATAAATTACCATTTTACCGTAATTTTACCGTAAATAATTGTAAAATTGAATTTGACAGTAATTTTGCATCTCTATATTGAATATTAATAAATATTAATGAATATTAATAAATATTAATAAATATTAATAAATATTAATAAATATTATAAATATTCTGTGCTATCAGAGTACGTATAAACTTGGATCTGGTTTGTATCTATAATATATTTTGAACTTGCTTGTTCATTTCCGTCACATTCTACAAGCATCGTTTTCTCCCCCACGCATAATCGATCCCCACCTAAAGTCGGCTTTCTGAAGTTCCACAGATAGACGCGATCTCTATTTCTGGAGTTCTTCGCATGGAGTTGAAGAGCGAGGTATATGGCACGTGACGAACTGACAACATCTTGTATTCAGTGCATTGTGCGATTTTACAGTGAAAACGGCGGTTTATCCAGTTCGTTCTGTCGTTTCAGTTTAACTCTTACCGAGTGCAACAATATTGAAAGTGATCGACTCCTTTTCTTTCTTTGTACGTTAGATTTCCTTTATTTTAAGACATGGCACGAGATCCTTTATTACTGATTATAATATCACTGAAATGCCGCCCAGTAAACGAGAATGGATTGAAATAGATTGAAACTTAATAATAATTAGCCTAATAAGCCTATTTGAGCCAATCACAAGATATTTATTGTGTGAATTAACAATTAAAGAATTAAATCATTACATGTATATTAATCGTAATTCATTGTAAACGTTTCGACCTATGGTTAAGGTTCTTATCAATATTTTTAACGCGTATTGAAGTATTGATAAGGACCTTAACCATAGGTCGAAACGTTTACGATGAATTACGATTAATATACATGATATAATGATTTAATTCTTTAATTGTTAATTCACACAATAAATATCTTGTGATTGGCTCAAATAGGCTTATTAGGCTAATTATTATTAAGTTTTATTCTTCTGAGCCTTGAACATTACTTATATTGAAATAGATTGATATTTTCAAAAATATAGAATTCAGGAATGATAAAATGAATGCTTTTCAATCTTGAATGCATTTTTATTCATTTATAGAAATTGCATGAAGCGAATGTCTATGCTTTTTCAATCCTAAATGCATTTTTATTCATTTATAGGAATTGCATGGAACATATCTCTATGCTTTTTAATCTAAAAATAATATCAGCTTTTTCTGTGCATTGTGAATACTGTTCAATTCAAAATTTTGAATAGGAAATGCAGTTTTTCAACTTAATTGCATCCAATTGAATAAAAAAAAGTTTTCGCTATTTAAAATACGCATTTGAATAGATAAAATTTCAATCTATTTTAATCCATTCTTGTTTACTGGGCGACTAACGAGACATTTATTCAAAAAAATTCATGCGATAATATGACGATTTATCATTTCTTCATATGATTGATAATTAAACTTTATTTCTGTATGTGATTTATCTGTATATATGTGCGTGCGCTTATAGATGGTTCGTCTTCCCTCTTTTTCTCTCCATGTTGGAGAGAATAAGCTTAATCATTTCTATATTTGATCTTTTTACGAATGCGTTAATTATAATTCCAAATGAATTATTGACAGTTAAGTTATTGCAATTTGTACAGGTTTGTATTTGTGTTGTAATTGTACAGCAAAACATTGTTTAAAAAAACAACAGAAGTTACTACAAATATACAGTGAATACAAAAAGTATTCGTACAAAGCAGATATTTAAAAAAAAGCATTTTTTTAGAAAATAAACATTAATTTATTAACAAAGAATAAAAATAGGTGTGTATATTTTTCAAAATTATTTTATCTTTCTAAGAGATAATAATTAAATTATCTTAATAATATATTATCTTAATAATATTTAATACATGTAATAATTAAATATTATCTAAATAATAAGCGAAAATAAAGATTGTATTATTTGGACGCACATAAATGTATAACTGTATTATTCGTACAGTCGAAAAAAATAAACACGATTATTTTCAAGCTCTTTTGTTTTATTAGAACAAAATATAATTCATTGTTAATAAATTACTTCAAAATTAATTAAAATTAATTTATATTTTCTACAATATAAATTTTTTAAATAAAATTTTTTAAATAAAGATTTCTCGTATACAAACATTTTTTACGTTCACTGTAAATTCGTGGATTCATTTCCTCTTAAATATAGTGGAGCAAAGTCAAAAGATAACACTTTGTCCAACACTTTGTCCAACACTTTGTAAGATGAATACTTTGTCCAAATACTGTCGGAAGACAAATAAAAGAAAGAACGCGAAAAAAATTCCTCCAATGAATGGAACTTTCATTTACATAAATATAAAGAGAATAAATAAAGAGAAAAAATACAGTAATACATGTATTCGAGTATTTCAGTTATGCTTTTGATTTAAAAGATCTCTTGAATCTGAAAAAGAGAGAAAAAAATATATTAACAAGCACGTTATGATAACTTTTTTTGAAATAATTTTTTTATCACGTGATCTTAAAAAATATCGAAGGAGAAATAAAAAATAGGTCACGTATTCGAGATACAAAAAATAAAATAAATAAATATATTGTCACGTTCGCCGAACGTGCCGTCGCATAATCTGCCATACCGAACTTTCGTACGGAATAACATCGGTTTCACTGAAAAAGAAAAGCTGAAAATAACAAGACTTTTTTTGTAAATCCCAGACGACAATATTAATAAAATATTCACAAAATATTTGTAAATATTTATAAGACTTGTTTTAAATATTTTCTAAATGTTTTTGTGGTTTTAGATTGCACATATAAATATATGTATTATAAATATTTTGAAATATTTATTATAAATGTTGTAGTAAATGTTATGAAAATATTTAATAAAACATTATAATCCAAATAAAAAATATTTACTAGAAATATTTATATTTATATTTACTATAAATATTAAAAAAAATATACGAGGGGGGACCCAAAAAAAACGGGAATTTCGTCATAACTTCTTTATTTCTCAATATTTTAACACCAAATTTTGATCACCTTCAAAGTATTCGCCATTGACCACAACGCACTTCTCCAAACGATTCTTCCATTGTTCAAAACAGTTTTTAAATTCACTCATCGGGATGTCCTTTAAGCCTTCCAGCGATTTTTGTTTCACCTCCTCCACAGTGGCAGATTCGATTGCAGAGGTGTTGTGCACGCGGAGTTCGTTCCCCCGGGTCAAACTGCCAACCAGAAGCTCTACTTGGAGGTTTTTGTTCCCCAGACTCAAAAGGAATATGAAAGGAAAGCGTTTTGCCACTGTGGAGGAGGTGAAACAAAAATCGCTGGAAGGCTTAAAGGACATCCCGATGAGTGAATTTAAAAACTGTTTTGAACAATGGAAGAATCGTTTGGAGAAGTGCGTTGTGGTCAATGGCGAATACTTTGAAGGTGATCAAAATTTGGTGTTAAAATATTGAGAAATAAAGAAGTTATGACGAAATTCCCGTTTTTTTTGGGTCCCCCCTCGTATATCAAATATAACATTAATTCGTAATAATGATGCGATACAGGAGTCGTCGCTGGAAATATTTGCGCAAAATGTAGAGTATTAAAATTTACTACATCAAAACGACATTCAAAAACCTGAACGTTTCGGTTCATATTTGGGCCATCTTCAACAGGATGTTGACAAAAAATACAAAAAATATCGTTGCTTGATTTGTGATCACGTCAGTAATGAGATGAGAGTCTTCCTTCACAATTTTGTTGATCATTACATTTCATAGGCTGAGTGGTAAGCATATGAAATTACTTCACGTTCGTGATTTTGTCATTTGAGATTGAGGCTTTCGGTTATCACTCAGCCTATGAATTGTAATTGTCAACAAAATTGTCAAGGAAGACTTTCATCTCATTATTGACATGATCACAAATCAAGCAACGATGCAACGATATTTTGTGTATTTTTTGTCAACATCCTGCTGA